CAGGCCCGCAGGGGACGGCCGGGCCCCTCCGTCGGACGTGAGCCCCCCAGTCGGTGCAGGCGCGCAGGGGACGGCCGGGCCCCTCTGTCGGACGTGAGCCCCCCCCCCCAGAGTCAGTGCAGGCCTGCAGGGGACGGCCGGGCCCCTCCGTCGGACCTGAGCCCACCCCCCCAGAGTCAGTGCAGGCCTGCAGGGGACAGCCGGGCCCCTCCGTCGGACGTAAGCCCCCCAGTCGGTGCAGGCCCGCAGGGGATGGCCAGGCCCCTCCATTGGATGTGAACCCCCCAGTCGGTGCAGGCCCGCAGGGGACGGCCGGGCCCCTCCGTCGGACCTGAGCCCACCCCCAAGAATCGGTGCAGGCCCGCAGGGGATGGCTGGGCCCCTCTGTCAGATGTGAGCCCCCCAGTCGGTGCAGGCCTGCAGGGGACGGCCGGGCACCCTCTGTCAGACATGAGTCCCCTGTTCAGGCCAGGGTCGTCGTGGTCAGTCGTCCAGCACTGGTGGCTGGTCCCACACTTGTCACCGTAGACCTGCCGTGTATGAGGGGGCCCTCTGCACCCAGCAGTGAGCTGATGGGTCATTTGGAGGCTTCCTGTTGACCAGCCTACAGCTCAGACACTGTGGGACTAGGGGCATCACAGGGACAGAGCCAGGCCGGCAGGTCTGTGCTGTGGTGAGCAGTATGCCCACCCTCTGCCCCTTGTGTACCTGCAGATGACCACTCGGAACTGGAGGGCTCCACCCTGTCCGTGCTCTCTGCCGCCAGTGCCTCTGCCAGCCGCCTCCTGCCCCCTCGGCAGCAGCTTCGGGCCGGGGCCTTTGAGTACTGCCAGCGCCTTCTGGACCAGAGCAGCCGGCGTGAGTGGGGGCCCTTGTCGGCACCCTGGCTGTCCGGGACAGCCGCCGCAGCAGGGGGTTGTGTCCCCTCACCGGTCTCCGGGAGGGGCGCTGTACTGTGTCCTGAGGGGTGCTCCCCACCCCGCCTGGGAGCTTTAGGGCGAAGCCACCCCCTCATGCTGCCCCTCCCCACCCCAGGAGCCCTGCGGAGAGGAGATGCAGAGCTGCAGAGGGCTGTGAGTGTGCCCCCCCAGGCCTGCCCTCAGCACCCCAACACTGCGTGGAGCTCAGAGCCCCGTGTTCCTGCCCAGAATCCCGTGCTCGTGTACCCTGTCCTGAACCCCATGTGTCTGCTTCAAGCCCCCCATGTCTGAGTCCACCCCGTGCCCCACCCTGAACCTTCAGCTCCCCACCTTCAGCCTCCATATCCCTCCCCCAAGCTGGAAACCCCAAACGTGTCCACACGGCTTTCTGACCCAGCCCTGAGCCCCATCTCCTGCCTCTGATCCCCAAGTGCCTCTCGACCTTGGGCCCCACGTTGAGCCCTGGATCCTGCCCCGGGCCCTTCCTATGCCATGGCCTCGCGCTGTGGCCCGTGGCCCCTCCCCGTGTCCTCCGTCCGCCCATCCTTGGCCTGCAGCCCACGGCCGCCCCCGACGCCTCACCCCACAGTGCCTGGTGGAGGCCGTGCTGCTTCTGGATGTGCTGTGTCGCCAGGACGCATCCTTCCTGTACCGAGCCCTGTCCTGCCTCAAGTCTCTGCTGGGCCGTCTGCGAGGAGACCCGGCCCAGGCCCGGGCCCTGCTGCCCATTGCCCGCTTCCTGCTGGGCCACGGTGAGGCCCCGGGGACGCAGCACCTGCCCCGCTCCCATCCTTTGGGTCTAGAGTCTTCTTTCCAGTCTGCTGGGGAGCCAGGTGGTCATGACTTAGATGAGAGGCCTTGGGAAGCCTGGTCTGTCGTCAGCGTGTCCCTGACTGGGGGGCCACATGACTGTCACTCAGGGAGGTGTTACGGGACATGAGGACAGGGGAGCTGGACGGGGCCGCCCAGGGTTCCTTGCCAGGCGTCCCGGGCGTGTATACTCCCCAGCACGTCGGATGGGTGTCCAGGGCCCAGGCGCCCTGACGGCTGTCCCTGCAGGGGAGGCGGCCGCGGTGGATGCAGAGGCCGTGTGCCTGCACCTGCTGGACAGCGTCCCGGCCGAGCTGTTCCCCAGCCCCATGCTGGCCTTCGAGCTCGTCCAGTTCTGCAGGGACAGCCTTCACCTCTGCGGCCAGGACCTGGGCCTCTTCCAGCTCAGCTTCCCCAACCTTTTCAAGGCAGGTGGGGGTGCCAGGGTGGGGGCCCAGCAAGGCCTAGCTGTGCCCACATGGGGTCCAGGGCTGGTGCACCACAACAGCAACACAGCCGTGAGGGCCAGCATGGGCGGAGGGCCGCCTGGTCATGCCATCTGAGCAACAGAGCTTCCCACCGCCAAGGTGCGCCCGTGCGCCCGGCCGCGGGCCTGCGGGTGGGGGCTCGTGTCTGACCGGTGGATGGGACTCAGGACAGCATGTGGAAGGACGTGCCGGTGGAGGGGACAAAGCAGAAGAATGTAGGATGGACGCAACCCTGGGGGAGGGCCCTGTGATGTGAGCAAGCTCCAGCCCTGCCTAACCTGAAGGTTGGTGGTTCGAGCCCACCAGGACACTTTGGTGAAACGAGCCTGTGAAGCTGACCCACATGGGGTCACAATGGGTCCCTGTGGTGGTCAGGTACAGTGACGGGGGCAGCCAGACCCCTGGCCTGAACATAGCATACCCTGGGTCCATGATGATGGGGCGGCAGGCACCCTCACGCCTTCCGCCTTTCCTGAGGACTCCAGTGGCCCCTGCCTCCAGCCTCTGTCCACCCACAGCTCCTGGCCTGGCACAGCCCGGCCCTCACTGCGGAGTTCGTGGACCTGCTCCCGGGACTGGTGACCACCAGCACTGCGGTGGAGATGCTCCACGCCCTGCTGGACCTGCCGTGTCTGACCGCAGCCCTGGACCTGCAGCTCAGGTGCTCCTGGACCCCCACCCCCATGGGCCCCTGCCATTCCTGCGGGCTCCTGCCACCCCTCTTCCACCTGGCTCCTGGGCCCCAGACTTCACCCATTCTGCTCTGGGCAGCTGCCTCCATGTGTCCTCCCACTGGGCAGGGGCAGCCCCCTCCATGCCTGTTCTGTGAGCCACGTCCCCACCTCCAGGTCGTCACCAGCACTGTCAGAGCGGCCGCCCTGGGACATCTCCCTGAGGCCTACCAGCTGCCTGGAGGGCTTCCGGGACCCCCAGTTCCAGGGTCTCTTCCAGTACCTGCTGCGCACCAAGGCGGGTGGTCCTCCTGAGAGGTGAGGGCCTGGGTGTGAGCCTGGCAGGAGGGCTGGAGCCTGGGGTGGAGGGTACTTGAGCCTTTGGGGAGGCGTGAGCCCGGGGGGGCAATGTGCTTTGGGGGGGGGTGTGAGCCTGGGGGGACATGAGTGTGAGAATCTCCGTGTGAACCTGAACCTGAACTCATCCGAGTCGGAGCGACTGAACCTGTGGTGTGCACGTGTCAGGATCTCATGAACATGTGAATCTGGTGTGTGAAGGTGCGTGTGAGAATCTCGCGGGTGTGTGAACCTGAGCGTGTGGACACGTGTATGTCAGAAAATGCCACGGAGAGGTGAATCTGTGAATGTGGACACGTGTGTGCGACTGTGCTTGCGTGTAGGGTCGGGGCCATGGCGGTGGAGGGTCAGCTACCCGCCCCTCCCAGCCTCAGAGACAGCAGACGATGGCCCTCACCCTCACCATCCTCGTCTGACGGACCCCCATGTCCAGCACGGCCCTTCTTCCTGGGCTGTGAGCTGGTCAGGCACCCTGCAGGGAGAGGGCCAGGCAGGATGCAGGGATGGCAGCCCAGGCCCCTGACGCTGACCCCGCTGGTCTGCACACCCAGTGTGGCGTGGAGCCCCTCCCGAGCCCGGCTCCTCCTGCACTGGCCCCCACATTTAGGCCTTGGTGGCCACAGGTGCTGACACTGCCCATGATCCGCCCCAGGCTGGCCCCACTGCACCGCCTGCTGCAGCCCATGGCCGGCTGCGCCCGCGTGGTCCAGTGCGCTGCGGCGGTACCCGTGCTGCTCCCAGTGTTCTTCACCCAGGTGACCCAGGTGGGCCTCCACCCCAGGGGCTGCCCTTGACCCTGCAGACCCTGCTGTCCTCCCTGCCTGGTCCGGGTGGTCCACCTAGCTCCTGACCCCTCCTGTTCCAAGGGTTGGACAAGATCTCCAGCCAGGACCCCTCTCCCAGGCCCCACTATCCTCTGTTTGGCCAAAGTGGAGATTCTCATTGGCCTGTGGTCCTCCCTCAGGTGCAAGGTGGCCCAGAGAGAAACACAGGCAGTGACAGGTCCCACTCTCAGTCCTTCCAAAGGAGCAGAGTGAACCCCCCATCCTCAAACAGCCCCCAGGCCCCTCTTTCAGAGGGATGCCCTCCCCTCTGCTTGTCGCCCAGGTGGCCAATGGGGCCCTGACTGCCCAGCTGGCGCTGGTACTCCTGGAGAGGGGCGGCTCCCTGTTCCAAGTGCCACACTATGAGGCCCGTGTCCACAGGTGGGTCCCCGTTAGCCCTGCCCTGACGCAGCACCTCAGCTGAGTCTTCCGTGTCCCCCACATCTCTGCAGCCCCTTCCGGTCCCCACCCTCACCATCAGGTTCCCTCCTGGGTCAAGCCTGTCTCTCCATTCTCTTTCCAGAAAGTTCTGCCGTCTTCTCCTTTTCCAGATCTGCTCCTTTCACCACTAGCTTGGGCTCCTTATTCCCCGGCTGCCCTGTCCCTGGAGCTTTGGCCAGTCGATGGCCTGATGGGCTCATACACAGCTTGCCCAGTCTCGCTCCAGCCCTGGACCAGGTGTGGCCCGCCCAGCCCTGGTATCTGTGTAGACTCCCAGCGAGATGACCGCTTAGGGGAGGGGCTGGCATGAAGAAGGCCCTCATCAGCTTCAGCTCTGGTGGGGGCTCCTTACCGGCGGTGGTGGCACCAAGCCCGTACGGGCCCTCAGAGTGGGGTAGGGTCCCCGTGGGCCCCCCCATGCCATCCACAGGTGCTGCGCAAGCACTGGCCATCAACAGTAAGGGGAGGGCCCCCCATACCATCCACGGGAGCTGAACCCTTGATGGGTCGTCCGTGGGCTGTGTCCCGCCCCGGCTGTCAGCACAGGGGGGCCACCGTGCTGTGTCATCCGTGGCCCCGGCTGTCCGCAGAGGGCCCACCGTGCTGTGTCGTCCGTGGGCTGTGTCATCCATGGGCCCGCTGTCCGCACAGAGGGCCCACCGTGCTGTGTCATCCGTGGGCTGTGTCCCGCCCCGGCTGTCCACACAGAGGGCCCACCGTGCTGTGTCGTCCGTGGGCTGTGTCATCCATGGGCCCGGCTATCCGCACAGAGGGCCCACCGTGCTGTGTCGTCCGTGGGCTGTGTCCCGCCCCGGCTGTCCGCACAGAGGGCCCACCGTGCTGTGTCGTCCGTGGG